TAATCTCAGTCTCCCCATCACCTCTTATTCTCAACCTGGCTTCACACCTCTAACTATGCCTTCAAAATTTCTTATCTCTGTTTTACATTTGATCAGCCAGGGGATAAAGAAAATCCAGCTGGAACTCAGCAGCTTCAGTTTTTAAAGACTGTTTCTAACTTTTCTCTTCAGCATGTCGGCTGAACCATTGCTTTCCCATGAACTGCTGATACCTTGATGCCAAATCTTACATAAAATGTTGGGTTTCACAAACAGCATTTTTTTAGCTCAGGTACCCTTATTTTACCAATAGGAAAGCTCTTAAGTCAGAGTAATTGTCTCATTTGTGCCAGACCATACAATGGAAATACAGAGCATATTACAGCGATCTTTAACATACCAGTTTCAGCAGGCACGTTAACAGTTACCCTGAATCTGCAGAAAAACCTGCAGCAAGCTTGCATCAGGATTTGAGCTAGCAAATCTGCATTGCTTTGCTCTGTGCCACATGGCCTCATGAGCTCAAGAGCCTGAAATATTAGGCATCGCTGCTCCATGCTCCATTTATTAGTGTGGAGGGTTTATATGGATTTGGAAATGTCACCACCCCAACAGACCCCTATCAACATTACTGGGATAAAAGTATGAACAAGCAACTCACCTTGAAGACATCTGAGGGCTTTCCATCTGTAAAAAGTCTTAGAAAGTCTATAAATCCACTTCTCTACAAAATCCATGGAGTTATGCTCTGCAGGACCAATGAATCCTTATCAGATTTTTTGTTCAAAATGGAAATCCGAGAACAGCAGTATGATAAGGAGAAGCAGATTTTTTCCCTTTGGGCCTAGGTATTCTTTCAGCAGTGCTGTTAGTCAAACCACTCACCTACAAATTACACTGCCTCTGAGTATATAACGGCCCTTGCCTATATATCACAATAACTGTAAATCTTAAACATAAATAAATAATTTTAAAAATTAAAATCCAAATATTGTATGCTCCATTATTAAGTTATTTTTTGTGTTATTTGCTAGAAGTATGATGAATCTCACTCAAAAATTCAACTCTGCACTTCTGAGTTTAAATCAAATGTTAACTGCCAGTAAAGCAAGTAATAAAAAAAATTACCTCTCCTTTAATCTTAAATACCTCTACATTTAGCATAAATTGGAAGGCTTATTCTGGGATTGCATAAACCTCTCAAGGATACTTTTCATGACTGCTAAGCTAAGAATGGGCTGTCTCCCTCGTATAACGTACACCCCATTAGCTTGCTCCACACGGATCACTCATGAAGAACAGGGCTTTCCAGTAGCACATGCAGAAGCATCAGTCTGAAGACCTTGACATGGCCAGAGTGAAAGGGGAAAGTTTCTTCCTCTTAAGGGTACTGGGATGTGACTGACAACCTTACTGGATTTCATTTCTGTTATTCAGCCCTGACAAAACCTCCCAGTTCAAGCTCCAGAAGCCTGTTATTCAGTGAGGGGGAGGTATTGAACATCGTGACTTGTTCTTGTTTTCCTGGAGTGAATAACCATTATCAGCTTCTCCAAAAATGTGAGAAGTTCCAGCAATTTATCTAATTCAGAAGACAGGGTGGGACAAAGGCAGCATGAAGAAAGCAAAATATTTAATTAAAAAATATGTATGAATCAGAAACAAGCAAAATCCTAAACTTCACATATTCTGTTGTAAGCATTCCAGTGAGAAAGCAAAGTCAAATGTGAGCAACATAATGAACAAACCAAAAGGCAGCTTTGCTTAGGTAGGAAATCGTTGGCAGCAAAATTCCCCAACACTTCTACAAGCTCTCTGCTGTGTAGCAGTAAAAACCAGCTAACCACAGCAGGGAAGCAACTTCACCTTCTGCTATGAAACACCTCAAGGTAGGAGTATTACGGGTTTTTATAAAAACAAGTAGTATTTTTACATATAATAGATTTTATATTCCATATTTTTATAGATTTTTTCTATCTGGCCAGGCTCTTGGACCAGATCTTCTGATGACATTTGCACCAAACCAGCAGCTGAGCTGCTGCACTGCATGGCTGGAGTCACAGAACATCCCAGGTGTGACATACTGGCTGCAGAACACAGCACATGGCTTTGGGATACCTTTTCTACCATGAAACACTGCAGCAACATTTCCACATCAAAATGTATCTTTTTTTAAGAAAATGATTTAAATAATTCACAGAAAATGTAAGGATTTCAGGCAGCTGTGATGTTTCAGGAGACAGCGGATCAAAGCATGGTCTCTCTCCCTACTCCTCCTTCACCCCTTCCCAGCAGATCTGATTTCAGGGTTGGAAGCTGAGAAGTGCAGAGAAATGTAAGTAAGAGGCAGAGATCAGAGATCAATTAGTAGCAAAAAGCCTCTGTCTAAAACTGGATCTGCGTGGTCCCAGTGTTTGAAATACCTGTATCACAAACTACTTTTAAAAACCGTTTCCAATCAAGTTGGTAAAAATAATATTGTTTTGATCATGCTCTACCAAGCAAAAAAGCAAAAGGATTGAATATAAACATCCAAACTTGCATGGGTCTAATACAGCAGAATCTGGACACTGAATTTAAAGCAGCTATCTTATCTCCGATGCATAAACATTTCCATGTGTACAGACAAAAATATTTCCCAGGAATGGTGTTCGTTTATGTTCTGCAGCTTCCTTCTTTTTTGCTTCATCAAGGTCCTTTTCATACAAGTTTAATAAAGGCGTGTCCAACTGAACTAATTGCCAGACAAATTCATGAAAATGAGATTAGATTGTTTGCACTCTGAATGTTTTTCTTTGTTCCATGAAGCCTACTGTTTACTGAAAATGGCAAATTATTAATTTCTTGAGAAGTCCAGTTTTATCTTTAGACACTGACTTCCTTCTATGAATAAGAGGAACTTTCACCATGACAAAAATCCATACCTCAGTCAGATTTCGTCCCACACACTTCAGTAGCATGAATTTGGTTTCTTGTTATTTTCTTCCCTGTGATGTCTCACAAATAGCTAATACAGTTGCTTAAATCAGACAGGTTCTCCGCCCAGTTTGAACTTTGTTTACATACATGTTCACAGAGAAACAAAGAGTGCCCAGACTAATTCATTGAGCTTAATTTGCTACCCCATACTCTTATGATGAGTGAGCTCTCACTATGGTTTTTGAAATCAGTGTGTTTTAATAATGATGTCCAAGTATAGATTGTTAGTCCAATTAATTGCTTTGGGAAGAGCTTTATGAATACTTCTGATCAACTAAGAACCACAAGTCTTTTGCAAAGGAACGTGTTGTTACATGAACAGATGTGCAGAATATCCAATTAACCTACTTGGACTTTCTGGTTTGGCCCTTTTTAAATTTTTTCTTGGTTTTTTTTTTTCCTTTTTACAGTATGACATATGAAATCTAACCCCAAACTCTGGTAGAAGGTAGGGAAGGAACCGATTTTAATGATGTTTTAATGTTTATGTTTTCTTGGGGAAGAAGCCAGAGAATTAGCTGAAGTTCTACTTGATCATAGTGGAGGTCTACTTTGTTCTGCAGCTTGCGAATCTGGGTTACTTCAATAAAAGCAAACTGAGAAAGTTTATTCATTTCTAAAAGGTCTCGTTTTTCTGAAACAATAGAACTCCCTGACCTTTCCCAGGTATAATAGCAGTCGACACAACCTGTCTCTCCGCAAAGGGCATCAGATTTCAGAATCATTCAGAGTTGAAGGTAACAATCCAAGCACTAGGCTTGAGACTTTATCAAAGTCTACAGATGAAAAACAAGCTATACGGAAGAAGAAGAATGTTCATGATTTACGTCTTCCATGAAGGCCAACACACGCAAAAAGCAAAACAGAACAGTAAATTACCCAGAAATTTGTAAAAAGAAATTTCAGTTAGGCCTAAGTGTGGAATCAAGGTGCTCAGTCCAGTCTCATCCTTGAACCTTTCTTGCTGATGTTTTTTCATGCATCCTGGACCCTCCCATTATCTATCATCTGTCTTTAGTCCCACTCATGGTGAACCTGCTGTGCTGTATTAACTCCAATATAGCATCGCTATCTGGATCATATTTAGCAGGATGAAATGGAGATTCACCTCTCTGACTAAACCCTTCTGTTAAAACTGGAGGTGGATGATTGCACACTGACAGTCTGATTTACCTTCAGCCCCTGCAGAGCCCAGAATGGGAGCTAGGGGAATACTGAGGAAGACAACGTGCTAACAACCCATATTAGATATCCTGGAGAGGCCTCAACAGTCGACAGATACTCCTGTATCTCATTACTAGCACTGCCTCAGCAGCATCTGGTTCTGGCATTGCTGGAAACATTATATAGGTGTAAATGTTGTGCTGATCTACGCCAGAACAGAAAATTCTACACCCATCAGATACTGCAAGAAGATGAGAGTTGAAAGTTTCAACTGGCTTCTATTAGTAAGAGTATCGAGTGCCTAGTTACTCGTGTACTTTTTTAGATGATGAACTTTTCACTGCAGGCACGATCTCTCACTACATACTGCATGCTGATCTCAGTGCCTTAAAAACTGTAAGGGGAGGGACCTTATGCATTTGTGTATCTTTGAGCTGTCATTGAGTCCTGCCATGACCCTGCCAGCCTTCCAGATGCCAGGGAATAGGCTTGAGTCTGAGAACCTGCCACACTCTTGTGCAAAGCAGAAAGCCCATCCCAAGGACAAGCTAATTAAGCAGAAGCCAATGGGTGTGAGGACAGTCCTTCTCATTGCTTCATTAAATATCTTTTTTCTGTTTGGCACTAAATAGAACCTTGACAGTTGGTTTCCAGGAATTCTGGCACTGTGAATACCTCTATTCACTGCTTCTATTTTAGTATCTTTCACACTTTTTTCAAGCAAATAAGAATCTGAATGTATATGGTACATGCAACAACTTCATGCTAGGGATATAAAATACTACACAATCCATGCATTGACCATATAATGAAGCTGCGATACATTCCGTCTTAATCCCAACTACTAGAGGTCAATGGTAAAAATACGATATCTACTTTACAGGAGATTCCTTGGCAAGAATCCACTGACCCTACAAAAAACGGTTACAGTCTTGCTGTTTCTCACCTGATGAGTCAATAGCAGAAGTAGCAACATATCCCAAAGTCCTGAGAGCTACCTTTTTTCTCCATACCCTAGATCTCATCACTCCTATTCTTTCCTCTCCTTATCTAGTTCCTGTTCACATTTAACAGCATCTGCAAATGTGAGAAAAAAAAAAATAAATCAGAAGATACCTAGACATAGCTACCAAAACAGTAGGATATGGGCATGTCCCAGGGCACTAAAGTTGAAAAAGCCTTTGATGAATTAAAAGATGCAATATTAATAATATATAAATATAGAGAAAGTACCAAGAAAGCTTGGAGCATATGCTGGATAGCAGATTCTGCTGATCCTGGTCACTTCAAAGTCTTCAGAATAAATTCAATAGTATTACTCTTCAAAAGTAAGGTTAGCACATATTACCTTAACAAATAAATGATGATAAGAGGGTCCCCATAATTCAAACACATATGGCTGGTGTGGCACATGTTAGGATTTTGCTACATTACATACAGAAGCAGTGTTGCAGATTTGGGCATTGAGGAGTTTCTCACTGATCTTCTGGAACATAATAAATATCAAACAATATTGAGATAAATTTGTCAATCAAGGATTATAAGAACAGACATTATTCTGTGACTAAAAGATAGCAGACTTTAAAATATAGCTCAACAAACTATCTTATTCAGGAAATCTGTATCTACTGAAACTCCTAGAAAGACACATTACTTATCCTCAGACTTTTGGACTTGGTTTGATAACAAATGGGATGAAAGGCTTCATAGGAAAAAGGATGCTTCTGAAATGCTAACACTGGTGTGTATTTTTTCCTTTTATCAGTCTGCAGTTAGCCTTTATAAGCTTTTCAAAGTGGAGTACCAGAGTATTTCAATTCCTAAAACTGAAATATGGAATTACTACAAAAATAAATTTCAGCTGGAATATAGCCAATTACTAGCATCAAAACTTTTTACAGCTCATGTCACTAAACACAGGGAATACTCTTTGTGAGTGAGAACATCATAGAAAGCTTTACTTTTAATCATCAAAAAAGCAAACAACTGCAACAAAATTGCAATAGCTGACACTTCTTTTCAGCTTTGCTCATCTTAAGTATAAGACAAAACACACATCCTGAAGGAAATTAATACACACTGTCCTTTGGGGATTCAGCTGGTTTTGTTACCTTCTTGACTAAAAGAATTAAATCTTCCTTTTGAATCTTGTCAAAGATATAGGTAATACCAGCCTCTGCACTCTGTGTTAAGCAGTAAAGGCCAAGATTTACTCAGCCATGGCCAACTGATGTGCAGTTGGCTTGTAATCAGACACCAAAAAGAACAGAAGGCTTAACCAAATTTAATTTGCTATTTTATTTATCATTATGCTGCCCCCTTATCATACAAATACTAAACATTTATATAGTTAGAAAAACAAGACAATGTTTAGAGCTAATTTATGAGCCAATCTGACAAATAACCATCAATTGTGAGATGCACAATAAATCACTTAAGTAGGATTCCAGGTCATTGCTTTTTTCTGGCCTAGTCTGGGATGGAAACAGCAAAGACTGCCATTAGAAATTGCAGTATTCAGTAATGCTTGCCAGCTCAGTAGCTGATGGCAGTAATGCTGTGTCAGTGATTGTGTGGAGAAAAAAAAAACCATAAAACAAAAAATCCCATCGTCTCCAACTGCATGAAAAAGCAAAGCATTTCTTACAAGTAAACTCAAGCATTGAAATCTGGCAGTCTTCTATTTCCAAGATGCTTTTCAGTGTTCAACAGGGAATGATGACATCCCCAATTTATTTCATTACTTCTTGTGTTTATTTATTCATTGCAAGGTCTGAGCTTGATAGTCTCCACATTATTGTCTGAGCAGTGATCATGAGATCAGACCATTTTATCTGATACTGTAGATCTCATCATCGTAAAATTAAAACTTCTGAAGACTTTGCAGTGTTGTTTTGGCACTCTGTCAGAATAACCCCTGCTGTCATCCTTCTTAGGAGACTTGACTCTAAGTAAGATTATTGCTGGGCAAGAGCCTGCAGTGTTACAAATTAGGTCATTACTTGTAAAGTAGGTTCAAACCCTATGATTTGGCAAAGACAGTTTTGGATAAACGGGCTCAGTGCAGTTTTGGAGTCTCCTTTTAGGAACACATTCATCATGGATCATATTGTTAGGCATAAACTGCTGCATATTTGGTACATTGATTTTAAAAATATATTTCTAGGTATTCTGTATATAAGGCTGCTGCAGCTTTACTGAGTTGACTCCAGAGAACCACAAAAAAAAATTCATTTACATTCATTCTTAAAATGGACATTGACAATTCAAATTTCTGCACTTTGAAACTGTAATTATGTCTTTTAATCTGAGGTGAATATATATTAATTTTCTAATAATTTTTCACATATTACATAATATGCATATACATAGATTTCTGCAAAATAGCAGACATGGAGTCAAAGAACATCTTCAAGATTATCTGTGTCTGAACCCTTTTAATTTGTCTGATTACTCAGGCATAACAGAAGAGAGATCTGAGCTCATGAATTCCATTCTTTATATATTTATATGCTAGCTCATTCAGAGGCTCCCTGTCAAAAATATCAGTCACCTCAGGACAGAGCATCAACAGACAATGAGCATTACATTCAATGCCAAATACTCCTTAATGAAAACTAAACAGATGCAAGTGCAGTGATGCAAACACACTATTGTTTCTCAGATAGTTTAGGCACAACATGAAAGGTAAAGCTAAAAGTGCTTTTGTATGACTACATTTCATTTGATCTTCTTGGCCTACCTGTAATGCCTACAGCAGTGCTTAACTTAAAAGACACGTACCCCTGATCCTTACGTGATTAAATGAGAGAATATGCAAGAATCAATGAATGTGTTATGTGGAGTGTATGAACATCTCTACTGCAACAAGGAACTTCAACGCTCCCAGTTTTGCAGACACTCATAAGTTTCAGTGAAGTGACTGAGCAAAGAACAAGTTCAGTACTTTTCTTCTCTGTTGGGAAAAAAAAAGGTAATTGGTACATCCCAACTGTGTTTCCTCTTCCTTTGTCAGAGCCAGCCCCATATTATTCAGAGACAATGAATGCTGTGTGATTGAGACCAGTCACGCAGCAACAACATCTGAGAGACATCTACTATTACATAAAGTAACAATAAAGTATTATAAAGTTTGTAATCCAGCAACCAAATAATTGCAAAAAAATATAATTTAATCAAAATTCACATGCAACAGAAAAGAACAAAGTAAGTTAAATTCACTTTCTCATATCAAGTTTACCCAGCTCAAGCAGCAAGACGCTTTAGCTAGCCCACCTTGAGACTTTCAGCTGTTTTCACAGGTGCAGAGCAAAACACATTATAAATAGTATGCAAATAAAACAAGGTCAAGGCAATAATCTATCAGTTGATCAGTGGGTTGTTCTGGTGTATAACTGATAAAAAGCAGGAAAAAACATGTTATAAAAGCAGCATAGAAGAACTGAAAGCCTGGGTTGTTTTCTTAAAAAAAAATGTGGGCGCTCTTGGTTCTCATAGGTGCTGCAGCTGTTTCTGCTCACCTGCAGGATCTTGGCTTTGATGGGTAAGAACAGACATCAAGTTTTATATTTGCACAATTTCTTCTGCATGAACAAAAGCCTTTCAATTGACTTACTTGTTTAAAATCCAACCTTTTTCTCCTCTTTCAGGCAGAAGGTGTTTCGTGTGATTCCGCAGAATGACAAACAGGTGGAAATCATCAGTTCCCTTGCCAGCAACATGCAGGTAAAGAACCAGGGGAAGGGACTATATTGCATTTGAAAAGAACATTTCTCCTTTGGTTCACCTAACATATAACTCAAAAAAAAAAATAATCATGCTACTGAATTAAAAACCTAATCTTGATTCCATTCAAGCCAGCTGGAGTGTTTCTTCAGAAGGAACAGGACAAGGTGACAAAGCTAGAGCTATGCAAATGCATTCCAATACCTTCCTAGAAAGTCTGGCTAACCCAGTCTGAATATCAGTGCCCACCAGAATTTGTTAATAGAATAAGTTAATCTGAAATGCTGTATTCAGTGTGGGGTGCTTTCAAGAACATATTAGATAAAACACAGAAATTCCAACTACAAGAACTTTTACCATTGCAGGCAAAATATTTTGCTCATGTAAATAATCTAAAAATCCATACTCTCAATGAACGGAACTTTTCTTTGGCCTCTAGTCTCTCATGTCATCTTTTCTTCTCTGACTTTCCTTTAAAGCTTCCTTTCTATCCAACCAAGCTGCGTGTTTCTCACTGACCTTGATGTAGATATATAATGACACAATGACATGAGAAAAACCAATAAAGACAGCAAATGTGTTTTCAATATTTCTCTTCAGCTTTGATGTTGTAAAATAGCTGTTGGTGAAAAAGACACCATTATCTGTAGGATGAAAGGATGGTGTTTTTAACGAAGTACAGATGTGAAGAACTATCATCAACAGGCTAGTATAGCACGCTGGAACAGTATTCTGGAGAATAACGTACTATTGGAATGGTGCTGTGCATATTAAGAAAATTAATATACCATGCTTGCTTTTAAAGCATGTAGTATAGACAGATTGTCTTCTTCTTTTAAGCAAAGAAAATATCCCTGGACTACCATTGTTATACAAAGCAATCAGTCAGGGCTAATGTGGTAGTATATCCTGGAATAGTCATCTCACTTGAAGACCCATAGTTCATGAATATTCCCACCAGCCCCAATTCCCCTCTACATATGTGAGATGAAAAGCTGAAAAGGCATTAGGTTGGCAAACCAACTTTGCTTTCATTGGCCTTTAATAGGGCACTAAATCCAGATGTCTAGAAGCTGACTTCTGCAAAAAATAGTAATAGCATTGTTTGTTTGACCACCCCGAACTAAACATCTTCCAAAAGCACAGGTTCCTCATACCAACTTTAGCGAACTCAGTCTTAAAAGCAGTCATCCAGGCAACAGTCTTTCCCAGTTGAGTTATGTGAAGTATTCATGTAGCGTCCCTCTACTACTGAGTCAGGAGTGCATTTCTGTCTAACACTTACAGGAAAAACCTCCAGTGAAATGTGCACAAAGAATGCAGTAAGTTGTAAAGATAGCTATAATATTCACAAGTCTGTATGCACTCAGATGCTGTAAAATAATTGGCATTTGAGAAACTGTCACTGCCATCTCCAGAATTCTGCCATACAAACTGCAGGGCTTAATAAAATCATCTTAAAAAATTTCAAGTTAAAATTTAGGTTGATACATCTGGCAAGCAAGGACGGGTCAGTGTAGTAAGATAGGAATGAAATTCTATATACTAATCACAATCAACATCACCATCACACATACACCCACCTAAAAATCACAGCCATATGTATGTATTTATTTGTTTATGTATTCATTTGGCCTTCTTTCAGGTTGACTTTTGGCAGCCAGACTCGGTCACACTGGTAAGGCCAAAAATGCAAGTTGATTTCCGAGTTGAAGCTGACAAGTCTTTTGAGGTTGAAGAACTTTTGAGAGACAGTGGAGTGGAGTACAGGTAAGTTTGTTCTCACTACTGTATTTTGAATAGAAGGAGATTAAATACTCGGGAAAATGTGTTTGATTTTTTCATATTGGTCAACTGATCTTCCTGTCACAAACTTCAAACATGGGTTCAGCTTTCCTATTTGAACTGTTCCTAGTTCAAATGGACTGCAGGTGCTCTGCATTAAAGGGGTGAGGTGAAATGTTGATAGAGGTAAGAGACAGAAAGCAAAGACTTACTACCAGGAATTCCCCCGAGGTGAAAGCTCACTGCTGGAGTACAGAGGGGACAAGGAAGATTCCCCATTAAAGATAAAATGCAGCAAAGGTCTAGAAAGAGCCAGAAAGCACACCAGAAGGGTTTCATTATACTATCTGGGAACTGAAGCCAGAAAATTGTGAGCCCCAAGGGCCACCCTGAGGGGCTCCCCATTGAGTTCTCTAATCTGCAGAATGATAGCTACAGGGGAAAAAAAAAAAAACAGCTGGTGACAAAAAGAAGATGGTTGCCAGGTGAAGGGCCAAGGGAGTGGGGAGAACAAGTTCCCAGGACAGCCTTGGGGTTACTCACGTCACACAGCAGATCCATGGCAAGGATTTCTCCAAAGAGATAGAGCTCTCAGTTAGCTTAAATATTTCATAAGTATATTACCCAGAAGTAAAAAAGCCCTGAGTTTCCAGGACCAACTACAAGTGCAGCATAAGTGGAAGGAATAGATCACACATCACACATCCCTGAGACAGGAAGCCCTGTAGTGAGCAGCACTAATGTGGGTGCTTACTGGGTGGGTAAGGAGAAAAGAGCAGGACCAGGCAACTGCTTATACTTCATCTTCCAATCATTATGCAAGCATTAGTCGAGGATGAGAAGTTGATTTTGGGCTGGAGTGGAGTGGGGCTGTCTGTATTCATTGCTCCTTTAGCTCCACCTCAGCTTTCCAAAGTGGCTTGGCCCAGCTTGATTATCAGGCTTCTTCCATGTGTAATGGATATTCTGTCAACATTACGTACTCAGACAGAAAGACAGTGTTACTTGATCAAATTCTCATGACTTCATTTGGCTGAGTGGAGAGTTTTTGTCTCTCACCCCATTGTTGTTGCTACCAGACCAAACTCCTTCACTGGACACCACACAGTTCTCATTAAACATAACTTTTATGATCTACTAAATCCAAGGACAATCCATCCCTAAACTTACTGGCCTCATATTAACTATGTCTGATTTGTATGCTGCTGGGGGAACAGAATCTAAAAACATTCTAGAAGAAATAATTTTCAATAATGGCACAGCCTATGTACAGCACAGGAATCCAATTTCAGTGGAATTTCCTCTTTGGCAAAGGAGGAGTTACTCTACATGTGTTAGTTTTTCCTATAATATTCATGAACTCCCTCAGGTCCGTGCACAAATCTTTTGATTGCAACAAAGGCCATAATGTCTGGAAGGTGTCCCTGACAAACTTGAGTGGAGCGTCCTTGTGACAAACGAAGCCATTACAATTCTTTTGAAGTGCAGCTGCAGTGCCATGACATCATGTCAATGTAGTCATTTGCACTGTTTGTTCTGAAGGCTGGTGGCGCCTCACAAACTGGCCTCCTGCTCTTCTATCCAAATCACAAATGATCAAGGACATACCCTGGATGAGTAAGATTTGTAAGATGTTAAGACAAGCACTGGAAAAACAAGAGGACTTCATTTTTTGATAGCCAAGGTTGAAATATAAGCAAAAGGTCCTCAAGAGTATGCTCGATGATGAGCTGTGCCTTTGTACCAGCCCCAGGGAAAGATGAACAGGAGAGAGCCAACCAATCCAGACAAGATGCTGGGATTTTCTTGCCATTGTGTGTCCTACTTTAATAGCCCACCTCATGTGCAGTAAAGTAGCTTGGAGGATGGATAACGCCACCTGCAATAGAGCTGTCAAATCACACCTAAACTTTGGAAATGGTTTGACAAAGAATTTCATCAGGCAAACATCTCCGTGTTGCTGCATGGGAGCGTTGTGTTGCTGCAGTCTACCTGTCCTCCAGTGCCATAAGTTCAAGAGAGGGCCCTTTTCCTATTGAGGCAGAGGCAATCTGGCAACATGAGGACAGTCCAGAGCTCATTTTCTACACACACTCTGTCTCAGCATTGCCATTCTTCCTAAAGCAAACTGTTGCTACCCTGAAGGTTTGTTAGTAGGGGAGTAAGTAGGTAGGTGCTAATTAGGAGGAACCTATTGCTCCCTGATCATTCTCACAGCAATGTTGAGGCAGAAAGTAGGTTGATACTTGAACCTAATATATCCTATTTTCAAACGCATAAATCCCGCCCTCCCCCCCCATTTCACTTCACAATCCATGTGGCCTTAATTCCAGGAAGACCCTGAAATGTCTACCTGGTGCTCACTTTCCTGCTAGCAAATTGTACGTTACTCTTTATACTTTTCATGGTGCCTTTTTGCAGAGTTCTGATTGACAACCTGCAGGCTGCATTGGATGCCCAGTTTGACAGCAAAGTTCGTACTGCCAGACACAGCTATGAAAAGTACAACAACTGGGAAACGGTAAAGTCTAGAAGTTGGGCACTTCGTTAGCTCAGTACCTTATCCTCTGTAGTCAAAATGGCTTCTGATATGCTTCCAGCATTCTTTCCTTTTCCTCTTCTGTTCCATCCATTAATACGGTAACTCCTTTTCCAAACTCTCTTTCCTCGTCTCCTTTGTTGCTCATTACTGAGTTAATCCATATAACCCATCCCCCTACACCTATTTCCTCCATCTTTGCTCCCAGTGCTGCAAAGCAACTCTGGCAGAAGTCCAATGACCAGGCTGACATGCTTCACTACTAGTCTGCTCTTTGCTTTTTACTCCTTCTTGATCCCCTCTGCCAAAAATCTTGATTCCATTCCTTGCCCCAATTCTAACCCTTCATCTTCCACCAGAAGCTCTCCCCTCCTCCCTCCTTTTTTTGTAGCCATGGTCTTTTTTCCTGACATGTAATCTTGACCATGTCATTCTTCATACCTTTGCAGTGCCTTCTTATCATCCATTGCATCACAGCTCTTACACTTAAAAGCATGACAGTCTCCCTTTCATGTCTTTCCTTTGCAAAATTTTTTCATTTTTGTGCCAATCATTGCCCACTAAGCACCTGTTACATTTTCAAACAAGAAAATTTGTATTTCCTCTCCAAATGGTATCTATAGATCATATACAGAACTAATCAATTTTCTTCCACCAGAACTCTCTCTCAAGAAAAAGTCTCCTTTTACAAGGCTATTTAAAAATAAGAACAAAAGCTCCTCTGACTCTATTGGCATGCAAAAAACGACCAACATCCATAATGTCAATCATTATTTCTAGTATTCTCTTGCCATTTTGTCTAGATCTGTCTGCTGTTTCCTGTCTTTCTTAGTTCATAGATAGCTCTTTGGGCATGAAATGCTTTTTTGTGTGGATGTGACAATTTTTTTATGAGCTTCTGAAGGCACCTGTAACAAAGGGAATCTGCTCCAATTTTGAGATAATAAAGGCTGTTATTACTTTCCTTAAATGATAAATAGAAAGTAGGAGATTTTCTTTCATTTGTACCTGGCATTGGTGGACTGTTCCTACAAATCCCTGTCCAGCACTTCTGTCAGTAATTCAAGAATGATGATGAATAAAAGAGCCATGAAACTGAAAAACATTACAACATGTAGAAGATTTAAGGCATTCAAACTACTTAGCTTAACAAGAAAAACAGTTTTCGTTTGTTAAGAGAGTTTAAGGGTTGACAAGGTCTTAACAATGTAGGGTTAGCATTCAAAGGGGTTTGTAATCCACAGCCATACTCCAGTGACGGGTTTAAATAAATTCATACCAGAAAATCTTAATTCAGACATATAGCTGTAGTACAAGTAGGAATTAATTCTTAGAAATCTACAAACTATATTAAATATTAGGTCGAGTCAGATGCTCAGAAGGATCATTCTGGCTTGAAGTCTGTGAGTTAATTACTCCAGACCTGAGGACAGAGACATCAGTAAACTTAACCTCCTTGTTACACAGATAGCTGCTTGGACTGCTGATGTTGCTGCTCAGAACCCAGACCTTGTCTCTCGCAGTGTAATTGGGGAAACATATGAAAGACGGCCAATGTACCTTCTCAAAGTAAGTGCTTTGATTTCTTTGTGCTAGATTCTTCCTCTATTAACCTCCACAAGATTACGATCTCTATTAAAACACCAGTGATGCTAAGATAGTAATATACATTTTGCAGATAATCTAATACATTTTGTTCACCACTACTATGATTTTTTCACCTTTTAAATTTTTTTTTAAAAGGGGCATAATGAATTATTAGAAGTTCAGACATATAAATTTAACCACACTCCTGAGAGCTATTTGAATGATCATCTACCTTTATGTTCTCTCCATCTGTTGTTTGTAAACCGTTTACTTTAAAAGGATCTATAAATGTCAGTCTCTCTAGAAATAGGCAACAAATCTGTTTGTATCTTCATCATATATTTTTTTGGCATAACTCTTATTCATAAATAAGATACGATGACTTAAATAAAGGTGAAAGGATAAAGATTACTTGCCCAAAATTGCTTAAGTGTTTACAATAATATATTAGTCAAGCAAACAAGATCAACTCTTACAGACACTACAGGAAATAAATCAACAGTGCAGAATAATCAAATAATTGGGGGGGAAGCTTATCTACATTAATAAAAATTAAATTATTAAGAGTCTGTTGTTTTAGCTTGAATATCATGGTCAGCTATGCCTGAGAGCACTCCATAGATCTCCATTTAATCAAGGAATGCTATATTTGTATACAGGGTGACCTTTTAGGTCAGCAAGCTGACTAACTTGTTCTGCATACAAATTATTTTGTTCAAGACCTGGGGGTTTTGTTGTTTTTTTTCTTAGGTGGGAAAAAGTGGTGCAAATAAGAAGGCCATCTTTATGGATTGTGGTTTCCATGCCAGAGAGTGGATCTCCCCTGCTTTCTGCCAGTGGTTTGTGAAAGAAGTCAGTAAGCTTAATGATGAAAAAATATTTTACAAAATGCAACTATGTTTAAGAAAATTTTAAGTGAGCAGCAAGAGCTGAGAGCACTGCAGATTGCCTTTTTACCTCTAAATACCTGCCCACACATCCCTTCTCTCACCTCAGATGGTTAGGGTGTAACTACTTAAACCAGATCTTTATGGTTGGACCTGTAATTTCTCCACAGCTTAAGACTACCTAAAAGCATGTGTAAGAGGTACTGACAACTATAAGGATTACTTACAGAGTCTATAAATTCCTTTTTGCTCCTGCAGTCAGAGAAAGGTGAGATACAAGCAAACAAGTCTAGTGATACTATAAACATAGTCATGTTCTTTACACAGTCATAAGGAGTAGGGAATAAGGAAGTTCAAGGGGGCATCAGAAGGCATCTGAATGCACATCCGAACAGCTGTCTTCCTACAGCATCAGGTGCTATATTCTCTGTAACCAGCTTTACTCAGTAAGGCAATAGAGGGTGGAAACCTATCCTCAGTTTAGCACAGAATGCACTGAGGAAATGTACCCAAGAGAGGAGGAAGAGTATAGATGAAGCTCCCTAAACTCCACTCAGGAAGAGAGAAATGCATATACATCCCTTTGAACTGCCACTTCAAGTTGTACAGAATGGTTTCTAAAACATGAAACCATATTCAGGAAAGAGCTGCACAGGTGAAATTAGCTTCACTTGAGGCTGGGATACTTTAGGCCTGGAATTAAACAATTTTATCTCCTTTGTCTTTTTCTTCTCCTTATCACCAATATAAAGCAGGTGCAAGTTAATCAAATACTGCGCAGTCTTCTCTACAGAGCAGAGGCATATTCCCCCTCAGCACGGGGAGATTAATCAACTTAGCAGAACAACTCACTGATTGAATCTCAAATTTTGTAAGAATTCCTGGTTGAAGATTAAAAAAAAAACCCCTCAGATCCAGAAGCAGCAGCTGGGATTTAAAACCCAAGTAAAGGAAAACCAAAGTACGTGAGTGAGCCATGCTGGCAGAGGCCTTGGTGGCAAGTATAATCTCAGTCTTATCAGACAGCCATGCGGTTTTGCGTAGGAAGCAGTGGAAATTGAAAGTGACATCTCAATGGACTCAATGGGAATGTGATTTCATTATCTCCTAATAAGGCTGCAGACAGTATGCGCTACCATTTTTCTCTTAGCAATTCACGTCACTACAGCTGTCATTTTCACTGTCTGGTCACTTAATTCATGGATGTACCTGACACCAGCAGTGGCTCTGCTCAGTAGATGCAAGTGTGGATAGGCAGAAGTGCTTTAAAAGCGCAGTCATCTGAGCATCATCAGCGGTTTACTTGGGATTGCTTCTAGACATCGAAGTGAAAAAAAAATTAGAGAAAACCATGAGCAAGGTGGGTTGCTATATGTATCTCAAAAAACCCCCAAGCATAAAAAAACAAACCACGAAAAAGTAAGTAAGTTCTAGTGATCTGAAACTGCTTTTTCTAGATTCTATATCCAACCTTCCCATTTGTTAGTTACAGGACAATAGATGCCTTTCTCCATCTCCTATATGTCTGTGTAGAGTAAAGGAAACATGGGTGCAACATACTTCTTAGAGCAAATTTCCATGATCATTGCATGCTCCCTTGAGACTGATATAAATCTGTGAACAAGCATACGAAATGCCAGGCCACGAACAATCAGGATATACAGGTTTATGGCAGGAGTTCTTAAGTTTGCTATTCAATGTGTGTCTGGAAAAGTGCAGGGGAAAATCTGCCTCCCTATGTATATGTTGCATCCGCAGCTTTATGACTGGAAATGTGTAAGGATGTTCTTTGGAAATATTCTGTATAATTTTGGTTATTGATGAAACTTCCCTGCACAACAGATATAAAAAATGGGAATAATGATTTTTCCTTCTCAGGTAAATTAAACACAAACCTTTAAGGAGACAGGGTGTAGGGAGAATATATGGACAGGAAATTTGCTCTGTCCTTAAACAAGAAGCTAGTAGATGGAAATCTCTTTCCAGTGATTTATTATCCTGTTCAAAATCAACATTGCTTTACCATATAATTTATTTACCAGAATGAGATTACTTTCTAACAGCAGTGTGGTTTGAGTCAGTGTAAATCCTCTAAGTAATATCACAGAGCTGCCATCTCACATGGTGGAGTGAACTGGATGACTTTGTCCACTGCATTCATTAATTCTTGATCCAAACTCAGGCCTTTAAATACACACAGGAGATACAGATCTATGAAGGCATCATCAGCTTTTTCTACTTTTCTTCAACTAGGCTGTTGAGACCTATGGAAAAGATACTGTCATGACCAAACTTCTCAACACATTGGACTTCTATGTTTTGCCTGTTGTTAATATTGATGGTTATATTTACACTTGGACAAACGTAAGTACATTCTTCTTTCTCAACAATATTGCTGGAGAAGCCAACTGTTAGAACTTTCTCTTAGTTTTGATCTATGCTTCATCACTCTATTTCAGGACCGCATGTGGAGAAAGACACGCTCTAAAAATGCTGGTAGCCGTTGCATTGGTACAGATCCCAACAGGAATTTTAATGCTGGCTGGTGCAGTAAGTGTCTCCTAATGATAGCTGCAAGCAATCACACAGAGATGCAATAGCCAAGATACTTAATTATGGATTTTCCCTACCTGATGGTTGGTCCAGCTCAAGCTTGAGTGAAGACCACCAGTATAGCATTGTGGAGTAGCTTGTGTTCAATTCTGGGGGCAGTTTTGGGCAAAAAACAGGCTTTGGTTACTAGTGTCATCAGTATGGCTACTTCTATGAAGTATGCGTGCATATATACGCTTACACACATGTATACATATATACATACACACACTCTTCTGTGATTTCAGACCAGAAACTGAAAGAGTTTTCTTTTGGTTGGTCTCACTCAGTGGCTCCTTTGAGTGGTTTCCACTTGGCTGTTTCCTGTAAGTGTCCTAAAAATAGGGGAGATATGCAAGGAGAGGACTGTTAAGTACTGAGGCAAATCAGTATTCCCAATCATTTACATAATATAGGGCTTTATGTCAATAGTTATGTTCTTCCACCTATGCACACTGTACAGGGTGTATTTATTTAATGCTATGTCATGTTGTCATGACTCTCTTAGCAACCAACTTTTTTCATTAAATACTCATTAAATTCACCTTTCTTCACAGCTGTTGGGGCCTCAAAAAAACCCTGTGATTCCACTTACTGTGGCTCTGCACCTGAGTCTGAAAAGGAGACTAAGGCTTTGGCTGATTTTATTCGTGAACATCTTTCTACAATCAAGGCATACTTGACAATTCATTCCTATTCCCAGCTGCTACTGTTCCCTTATTCGTATACTTATGAATTACCATCGAATTACGAGGAACTGGTAAGTCTCTTTGTCATTTTGACATAATGAAAAGAATAAGTAAAAATCATCACTTGCTATTTAGGTCCATTTAACTTCAAGCAGTTTCTTTAACATCTGGAAAGAATCTGTACTGCCAGTTTTTGAAAATACTTCAGTCTTTCATAGCAAGAACAAGGGAAACTGTGATGGCTTCAGGATAGTTCAAGCACAGGATAAACTCATGAGCCTTATTTAATTTCCAGATACACAATGAATTTGCCACAAGGTCAGGTTTGTCTTCCAGTCATGCCATACAGAAATGCACTACACTGTGCAGCACTGCTTTATCCTGACTCAAGAGATTGCTGTGTATGTAGCTTCAATACCTTACATAGAAACATTATGCCTTGTAAGTCAAGCTAACAGCTTGATAGATCGTAGTAACTATTAAATGACTGCACTGGTATCATCATCAGCAGACAAGGATCTCTGTCTACCACTTCCTACCGACCTTTAATTCTCACTGAAGTAAAACGGTAAAACTCATATTGGTACAGGTTCAGGACAAGGAGGCAGCCTTTGTCAAAACTATAATTAAAAAGTTAGATAAAAGGTTAAAAGTTTCAGTTCTGAGGCCTTTCTAAACAGGCCTGGATTCAAACACACTTTTTTTTTGGAAGAGAGGATGAATGTGGTGTTTTAAAGGACACCACCTCTTCTATTCATCCTAGAGAAAGACCACACCCTAACACTATTTAAGTAAGATAACAACAGTCTGAAATATATTTTGTTTTATCCTTAAAGACAGAGAGAGGGGGGTTAAAACTATTAAATGTGTATAACAGTTGTAAACATTTTATAAGGTCAAAAATCAACAGTCATGAATAATAAAATTACTTCAGTTCTCTGGCATATTAGCAATTAGGAGCTGTTGGCAGGGAAAACAACACAGCAAAACAAAACAAATCTTGATTCCCCCTCTTTCCTGGATGCTGCCAAAAGTCCAAGGCAACAACACTGTGTTGCTCTGCTGTGCAGGTTTGACAGATTTATGAGCGCTCCCAAATAGATGTCATGATTCTGAAGCACAAATAAAAACTGGGGCCAACAGTGAAGTTTATTGTAACATTTTTTACAGCTTAAAAGAGAGGATTAAATTCAGATGAATATTTGTTTTCTTAATGTGTATTCCAGAAATTTTAAATTGTAATTATTCCAGGGAACTGTACTAATTGCTTGTCTTCAGTTTTTACAAAAGCTTCACATTTCACAGATTGCAGTTCAGTCTAAATACAACAACACAAAACCCTTGAAGCTGCTTTGTTGTCAAGATCACAAAGTTACCATGTGTTAAAAATTCGCATGACACTCTGCCCGATTTTTAGAATCAAGAGCAAATGTGATGAAACATAACTAAAAGTACAGCATGTTTCTCACAGTATTAAATGGAAAAAGTATACATTGACAGCTCATTATTGAAACAGTCCTTAAGAATAAGAAAGAACCTACGTGCTTTTCTTGGTTTTCAAATTCTTTTTTTAAATTAAAATTTTATATTAGCAATGTTCTAGTCTAATACATAGTAAAATTTAATGAATCACCTGTACTAAGGTTCTACAGTTTTTATCAATAAAAACTTTTCTTTCCTGCCATAGAGGACAATCGTGCTATTACCATTCAGCATAAAAAATAAATAGCTCAGGAATGCAGGCTATATATTTCTCTTCAACCATTTGATTTCACCTTGTAAGTTAGTCTTTCCAGCATCACTTTATCCTATATTTTAAATTGGGCACACTGATCCCAGAGGGAGTTCCATTATTTTCCACTACAAAGCAATCACAAATCTTACCACCATGACAAGGTGACCTTATGAGTGTTTTTCACGGGTTAATTAAGGGAAAATATTTCCTCTGTTGGTGATCCCAACAAAAAGACAGCAGGATCCCAGAGGTGTTCAACTTGTGCAGTATCTGATTTTAACAAGGGAAGACTTCTTGCCAAAAATCCTTCTTTTGGAGAATGAGATCAGAGTATCACCCAATCAACATTGCCTGTAGTTGGGATAATTAAACAGAAAGGGCCTAATTCACTCCAATGTCAGTGAATTAAATAGAAAGACAGGCTCTGGGTCAGGTTTGAAAGTGCAGCTTTTCAGGTTACTTCAAATAACTAAAATGCATTCATTTAAGCTGTGACTAAAGAAAATTTAAGATTTTCAATCAACAATTGTACTTGCTTGAAACGACATGGCTACCAAAAGAGATATTTTGTATGTCAATTGTTGTGACTCACATCTAAAAGTTCTGCCTAGATTTAGAATTTAGAGAGACGCTGAAGAATGAGAATCTCAACTTGTAATAGAAACTGTTTGGGCAAATAAAGGGATCATAAATCATTTTGCAAATGAAGCAGCAAAACTTGTAGTGCCATTATCTTAGATGTTATTTTTACTCTGACAGATCTAATATATTAAAGGAAATACAGTTGCAATTTCTTATCTCTTTCAGTGAGCAACTGGACATGTGCTTAAACAAAACCTCACATGTCTGCTTATCATTAACAACATTTTGTTCCATTGTATTTAATTAAAGGTAGCATTATATCACGGACTTATGCTGCATTCCAGTGTCAGAGGTATAGAAGGGCACAAAAATTGAATAATTTGAAGACACTAAGTCTGCAGAAGAGAAAGATCTAGAGAATGCTTGTACTTTCCTTTCCTACAAGCGTACTGAGCAGCGTGTCCTTGGGGCTCGAAAGACCTTTTCTGTTCACAGCCTCAAGAAATCACCAGAAGGCATAAAACTGTTCTGGTTTTGGTTTCTCAGGTAGAACAGGACACTCTGAGAAGCCCAGACATCCACTGCATTGCTAGAGCAAATCGGAACAACCTCAAAGTTACTGTAACTTACTTTGAGTTGGGGATTAGAACAATCCCTCAACCCCCCGGCCCTGGGGTGTAAAACATGATGAAAGTCACGTACGCCCCTTCCTTCCCACAACTTCCCACTCTTCTCCTTAGATGCAAGAGGATCTCTGAGGATCTCAACCCCACAGCTCATAAGGATTTTCCCAAAACATTTCTCCCTTTATTCAGGGTTGTTGTTTTGTTTCCCCCCCACACTCCTGTGGTGTTGCACAAAACTTTCACTGTTATCCAAACAATACTTGAACAACAAAAATAAAAACACCCAAGACAGGAAAATCTAGGTCAGGGATTTCTCAGAAGTTACACAATATTCTTGTGATGACACCCTGAAAGAAATATGTATTCCTTTTTGGTGAATCACATTTTGCCTGCTCCACAATCCTCTCTTGACTCATTCTTCACTATACCCTGGAGTGTTCCCCTGCATGCAGAATACACACTTGAATCTATCATCATCTCCTACAGAGAATAGAAGCACTAGCTTTTCACAACTAAAAACCGTGCCTGGCAAGACGAGTATCTCTCCACCCCCCAAAAAGATTCTTTTCATCTTTATTTTACTATTCACATTTTTGTCCTCTTGCAACAAAGAACTCTGCATTTAATTGCACTTTTCATAAACAGTTCAGCCTTTATTTTTTAATCAGTTTATATTTTGGCCTTAGCTTCTTATTAGATCACCCTATGCTTTCCTCATTTTTAGCAGACAAATGTAGCTTTATCAATTCTTGTTTGCATTTGAATTGGCTCTGAACTATGATTTGAAAGAGCAGAGGAATATGCATCATGCCCTTCCTTTTTTTCCAGGTTCAATTCCATCTCTCAGTTAAACAACAAACTCAGTGCCAAATACATGTCTGCAGCCAGCCCACACTCATTGTCAGATTAATGTATGTGTATTATTACAGTTTGGCAGGCTAAAGAATATTAATTTACAACCCAAGATAATTTTCTAGACAAGGGATTTCAGTTTGTATTACTTGCAGGTGCACTGGCCACACTGGTTATTATTTAAGCTCACCAAAATTCACCTTCCATGTTGGGTTGGTCCAGCATTTCATTTCCTCTTTCAGTGCTTAAAATAGGATATAGAAGAAAGTAAGTGGAGATATGCCCCGAGTCTCTGCAGCCTGCAAGAAGAGTGAATTTCAAATGTATTGCATGACTTTGTGAATATCAGTCTGATTATTTAACCTAGCCTAATGCCTGGGAGCAAAGCCTTTTCACTCCTGACTTTATTCCTGAATGTGTTTAAAATATATGAAGACCTGCAGGTAAGAATTTTTGAACAGCAAAAATCCTATCACCTAAGAGACTTGGATATATCAATGAGGAGTTGCAACCTATGCTGTTTTATCTGTGCTGTTGCAAACTCCTGTGATTTTACGACTTGTTACAAGTAAATATTGGTAAAGTCAACTGGGAAGCACAAGAAAAAGAAAAGTGGGCAGAAAAGCAGTATCTGGAATTGGCTTCATAGTTCCTCCACCGAGTTTGCTACAACAGATGTCCCACAACAGAACTGCTCTGTACTGATAGCCTTACAATTGTGAAAAGGATGTTTTTAGTAGCAGCAACTTCCAGGTGAAGCTCATGCATGAATCTGTCTCAAAGACAAGAGTCTCCAACAGGCGTAGGGCACATTTACCTTAACCCTCTCACCAAGGATCAATTTCTTAAACACTCTGTGAGACTGCCACAGAGAAACAGGCTTGCAAAGAAAAAAGAAACATTACACTAAAGTCCTCCACTTGGCTGGATTCCCTGGACTTTTTGGGGAGATGCTTAACTATGAGCAACAACAGAACAGTGAACTGAATTACACATCAGTCATGGACTCTGTTGAGGGGAGTCTGTTTTTATTGGCAAAATAAGAAGCCTCAGAAGTTTGGCTTCACTTGGCTAAAGCTAACTTTGCAAATACCACGTTTTCAGACTTTCACTATAAAGCAAGTTGAGGGTTGCTTAAGTAGCCTATGAGGCCAAGGTGAAGTGCAAATACAGTTTTCAGCCTCAGGCAAATCCGTTTGCAGTCCAGTGAGGGAAGAGAGCAAGAGATCCAGTGAATCAGTGAAAAGGCTTCTCCAGATCAAGAGAGACTGTCAAGACTCTGAGGGCAAAGGGAGTTGTCCACATGCAGCAGCTGCAGAATCAACATCCCTGAAGTGTTTCTAAACAGCTGCAATTTGTTGGCAAACCTAGCCTGATGATACAAGAGTAAAATGAGGGAGATGCTCCCAAAAAAATTACCTATTAACACACAGAAGATGCTTAGCCTGATAATTTATCTTGTTAGTTCAGAACTCCAGATGTGACGAGAGAGGCCAGTAACATATCTTTCATTAAAAGCTAATAACTGAAAAAAATAGGTTTAAAGATTGGGAATTATGTAAGATAATGGCAACAGAGAACACAGCTCTGCTGTCTCACTGGCCCCTGCACTCTGTACACAAGATTAAGCAAAATATTAGTAATTGCTGTGTAAACACAGGTGGGTGATCAGTGCAGGGATTACTACCTTCTGCCGAACTGACCAGCTCTGCGAGTTCAGCCGTGAGTCAGAAGCTGAAAATCCACTTCTGCTCCCAGTTACAAGGTATTGATTTGGAGTTATTTCTAGGACTTCAGGGTGCCAGTTGTTTCTCTGCTGCTATAGCTCTCAGCAACATTTTCCTTGCAAGGGAGGGATTCTTAACAGTAAACCAAACAAACTGCAAACAAACCACAACAATTCAGTTAAGCCAGTTGTGCAAAGAGATCTAGAAAAGCACTAAACAGCAAAGAGTATTCTCAAAGGTCAAAAAAATAACAATGGTTCTCTTTGCAGATGTATTCCAAACAACATGCAGGCTTGAAAACTGCTTTTCAAAAGATAAATATTACTTTCCCTTTTGGAAAACGTTGGGCATTATTTATATACCTCTGCACAAATCTCCATGCTATTTCCTTTTTACAGATGGTTTTGAATAATTGTGCTATTTAAAAAAAAAATCCTCATATTTTGTATTTATACTCACAAGTATTTACTTATTTTTTATTATTCCTGCTCTTTTATATTATGTTATTATTATTAAGAGGTGACTTTAGTTCCTATAAAGTTGACATTTCTTTTTTTTACCTTTAGGTTTTGGACAATAAATCTATTAGGAAAGCGAATGCTAGAGAGTCACTTAAAGGAAAAGAATCAGACAGCAATATTTCTGATAAAGTTTCATTTCATGATGAAGTCATAAATGCTCAGTCATGTTTTTCACTTAGAGAAGGTCATTTAAAATATTACCTCGATCCCCAGTCTGGAGAACTTGAGGAAGTTGTTTATTTGGATTCCAAGCTCTTAACAGCTGGAAATCTCAACTGCTCTTTCTACAAATCTCTCTTTTTACAGCTTCCTGGCCAATAATAAAAAATCCCTCAGGTAAAAAGATTTCCTGACACACTTTTCCTGGTATCTGTTCTGGTATGATTTAAAGCCATCATCTGGCAGCTGAGTAAAGGGAATGCTCTATTCTTCCCTACCACGCAGTTTACTCAGAGAGCTAATACTGGTTACCAACAGGTCCACACAGAGTATCAGACTATCTTTACAAATTTAATTTCCATTTTGCATATATTTGAAAAGAGGAAGAATCAGTTTACATTTTAAAATTCATTTGCTATTGAGAAAAGATTTGACTCAATCTTAGCTGCTGATTAAAGGTATATATTATAAACAAAAGATGACTGAAGAAAGCACGGTGTCCCTCAACAAGTGTTAAAAATCATCATGGATTTTAGAAAATAAGCTTGTTAAAGGATTAAAAAAACCCAAACAAACAAAAAAAACCCAACACTGGAGAGAGCTCAGCTCCCCCAGTTGCTCTGAATCCAAGACTGAAATGCAAAGCAACAACATTCTTCCTACAATTGCTTATCTTTGGCCAATAGAGAGGCCAGACACCAAACCCCACATTTAGGTACAGCCAATGCTATAGGTGGAAGGACAAGATTCAAATACTCTTTGTCCTTGTTTAAATATTCTTAATGTGCTAAATGACCACAAATTCCTATGGCAAACTTCCGTAGTTCTAGGATATTCAAAATCCAACATTTGGGAATGAGGAAACACTTGCAATTCTACAATAAAATAGGCTGCCAGTGCTAATGCAAACGTATTTTGATGCTGTTTTGTAGAAGCTCTCACACTTAACCAATATTTTCTGAACATACCATCCAATATGCCTTTTCAAGTAATTCACAGGAACACTCGAAGCATAAGGATGAACAGAGAATATTTTATAATGTATCTTCCACTGGGAAGTAAGCCAGAGTATAACCTACAGAGAAAGTAGGGGCTTGAGGAAATTCCTAGAAGAGTAAGCCATTCAGCTGCAAGCTATAAAGAAAGATATGGCAACCCATTGCTTATTCTTATACTGAACATCTGCTTTCAAAAATCATTCACACTTATCATCTGTTAGTAATAGTTTTCATGTTTTATTACCAACATGCTGTATAATGAAGAACTGGGAAAGCCACACATTCCAAAGAAAAGTCTGTAATTTTCCTTAATGCAAACATACAAAGCTTCATAGTACTATTGATGGGCCTGATCCAGCCCTCTCCCAAATCAGTGGGAGTTGAATGAGTCCCTCTGTGCGCAGGAAATGAATTTAAATTAATGAGACTACATATGGTTCCAAGGTAATTTATAAATACTAACCGCCAGAAAAAGGCATAAGACCTTAATCCGCTTCTACTTGTATCAGTGCTCAACTGCACTGACTAAGCTGACTCTACTCTGAATTTTTAGCTGCATGAATAGAAGCAAAGAAAGGCTATTGCATGTTTGGAATTTACTGTACCAAGTTATTACTATTCTCTAAGATTCTCTTATCCCTAAATAAGATTCCTTATTTCGTTTTAATCTTATACAAGTTTCTTCTACGTATAGAAAATCCTGTTAGCTATTGTCCCCTTACCTATCCAAACTCTACTGGACTATGCAGCAGGCTGTACCTCAGCAGAGCAGTACACAGTCTGGACTGTACTCCATTAAAGCTTGGAGAACAAGCTCGTTATTGATAAGCTCTTTTCACAACAACAGGACAAGCTGTGCCTCGTCAGCTACTGACATCTCATCATTCTGAAAGGTGAACAACAGCTTTGAAAGAAAAACTTCTCAAGCATGGCTTTTCCGCTTATTCAACAATGTATTTGTTTAGATTCACTCAGAAAGCTTCTGAAAATCTGCATTTATCATTATTCTTTTCCTACAGAATTCCATTGCTCGTGCTGCATCCAAACAGCTGGCCAGTTTGTATAATACCAAATACACATACGGCCCAGGAGCTGAAACAATCTGTAAGTACTGGCCTGAATACACTAGCCATCTATATTAAGTGCTGCTAACACTACCAAATGCAGTTTTCTAGTTCTTGTTGTTCCTCTTCCTAAGTAGTGACCTTCTTTCTTCACAAGCGTATACTCAGAGGTGCATATGGAATCTATCATTTCTAAAATACAGGATTCCTTAAGGATCCCAGGGAGTGTGTGACCCCTGGATGTGTTTAGGAATTCATGTGCATAAATCATACACAGCTTAGTTCTAAACATAAAAATCTCAAACAGAGATTTTCTAAATTTCCAGTATCTCCAAGTCAAAGTGAAAAGACAATGTGAATCCTAAAGAATGGCTTCAACCACTCTAGCAACACGGATAATTATTTCTTTTACTCTGCATTACAGTCTGAGAAACATACTAATTACAATTCTACTCTTCTTACTCTTCTTGGGAACTCAAGACTCAGTGTCAAAAGCCATCCCAGGGCTGCCAAATCTAGATTTCTAGAACTTTAATGTCTCCTGTATTTAAGATCTCTTAATCTCCTTAAATACGGAAACTAATCTCCTTTCCCTATTTCTCTTTCCTTAAATAATTTAAAAAACCTTTAAAGAAGAGTTTCTCCCAATTTTTATAATATTTATGGACATTTTTCCTTTAAAAATGTTTTGGTGATGCTTAGCAATTCTGGAGGGTCCTTCCTTAGCAGAAAAGAATGCCTTCATTGCACGAAAGTACTGGAAAGGGAGGGTACCATTTGTCTAGAACAAAAAGATGGAGCTTATATCCCAGATCTGCAGTTCTTTCAGATCTGTATGAACCTCAAAAAGCTTCCCAGCAAGAGGGTATTTGATTCTGACACCAAATCTTTTTGAACAACCCCATGCAAGCATGCCATTCTCCTGTTCCCTAGATATTCCTCCCATGGTGTCCCT